CGAATTACTAAGTATTTAATTTTTTGGTAAGGTAATTTGAAACACGGTCTTTTTTGTAGTTTTTTTTATTATTAATTATTGTAGTATACTCACAAACAATTATGAATATTCTGATCTCTTAGGGCTCAACCTTTACTAATATTTGACAATACAAATATTATTAAATTTATCTTGTTATTAGACAGACGTCCAATGTAGGCAGCGGCTTGGCTTTGCCCCTGGTATTGCTGAAGTCCATGGGCGACGGTAACCACTCACCATTAGGTGGGCCGTATGCTCGTCTGCCTACAAGGGCAAAAAAAAAACCTAGGCCTCCCCTAAGCATCGCCACAAAGACCGGCCCTGCGCTGCCTGCATCCAGTGGATCCCCTTTTTTTTCTTTTTTTTTCCTACCTAAGCTGATAGGCTGAGCCTTGAGAGGCTTTTTCAGCGTAACCTTAACTAGTAGGTGAGCTCACGGGGCTCAAACCTGACGACGTTGCTAACACGAACCCTAGTAAGAGCCGTGCTTCGCAGAATTTACCACCGGATCGACAACGCGACCAACTGAGAAGATAAGGCGAGAAACTCAGTGGGCTGTGTCTGTGGGTTAATTTACTTGTCGAGCCCTTCGTCGCAAGCGACGGCTTCGACGACAACGATGACCAGACGGATCCCCGAGAACCTCAATAGATCGTCGGTCCATCTTGTGAGAGGCTACGTCATCCGGTACGTGGTCGCCACTCCAGAACTTTCTGGCCCCAACGGCCATCCGTTCTACGAGCAATGTGTCCTGCCCACTGCATAATATAAGTAATCTATATTGACATTAATCTTCATGAAATTTTAGTTGGTAGTAGACGAAGGTAGCAGATAAAGTCGTCGTGGTCTAACCGGACAAGATGTACCCTATGTACTCGTATCAAGTAATGCTACTATGCCGGGGCTTAAATCTTGGTGCCTGGTACTATTTTTTGTGTGAAAATTCGTACGAATTTACACCTATAACGAATAATTTGGTGTAATCAATATTTATTCTGCCGCCTGGTGTAGTGGTAAGTGACATGGTCACTATACAAGGGGGTCGCGGGTTCGAATCCCGCCAAGGGAAGATATTTATATGATAAATATAAAATGTCTTTTCCAAGGTTATGGATGTTTATTAAATATATGTATGTGTATAATAAAAATCTTACATTTATTTCCGTTATCTGGTACCTGTAACACAAGTTCTTTACGAACTTATCACGGGACCAATTAACGTGGCGTGATTGTTAGTAAATATTTATTTATTTATTTATATTCTATAAAATTCACAAATTTCGCCACTAGTCGCCAGTCGTTTCAGTATTAAGGTTGCGACAGTCTTAGGATTTCGGCGTTATACGTCAAGGTAGCTGGCTGGATTCACATAACATCAGGTGCCACGACATATGACCATATGTCCAAAAATGACAATAAAAAAACATCCCTTCCTCCGGTATAATATAAATCATATAGGTAATCTAGGCAGACCACCAGCATGAAAACTAAAGGAAATAAAACGCATAACAACTTGGTAACCATGGTATTATTTTTAAGCACGTTAACCGAAATAGGTACCTACAAGATTATATTCTTAACTACGCGTAATTATCAATGGTCTGTGCTCTACAGATTATTGCCCAATATTTATTTTTATTTATTTATTTATTTATTCTTTATTTGTACACACTGTTAATATAATACAGTAATTGCGATAAGATATATGTATTTAGTATCCACATATTCCTTTCCTCAATAGCTTTTTGTAGATAACTTCGGTAATAGCATCCAGGCGCGTTTTGAATATTCTCCAAGTACTTCTTAGGTTTAATAGAATATATTAATATAAAACCAAATCATATTTTCATATTATTATAAATGTTGTAAATAAAAACGCCCGCTTTTTTCGTAACAAATTAAGAATTCATCGCCATAATTAGGCAGAGCTATAACGATGAATCTTAAATATTATTTACGGGGGAACATTTCAGGTATCCAAATATTTATTACAGTTATGGATTCACACTTAATACCGATAGTCGTAAATTAGCAGGTCAGGACTTTTGCTCTCGTTATTAAAATAAATGGTATAATAACGGGCTGGAGAAAAGCTGAATCAACTTGGTTAGCGTAATGGGAAACTCTCCGAGATATCTAAATGAGATCGGATGAATCTTTTGTAATTTTAGCTCTCGTTAAAATGACGCGCTTATCAGACATATATATGAATATATATCTACCTTTTACTAAATAACCTATACTAATATTATAAAGCTGAAGAGTTTGTCTGTTTGAACGTGCTGCAAAGTTTGTTTGTTTGAACGTGCAGGAACTGCTGGTCCGATTTGAAAAATTCTTTCAGTGTTAGATAGCCCATTTATTGAGGAAAGTTAAAGGCTATATAACATCACGCTAAAACCAATATAAGCGGAGTACCAATAAAGAATGTTTCAAAATCGGGGTTTTTTTCCCTTTTGAGAGCTTCCGCTGCGTGCGCTGCAGAAACGATTAAAGTTTCGCTAAAATAATGTATGAGAGAATTGTTTCCCTTCAAAAGATCTAAAAAAAGTCTGCGACATCATATGTCTATATGTTAAAGTTGGCTCACTATAACGTTTTTTATGCTAACCAAATTTGTTCTAAAATAAAGCATTATTTGTGAACTATTCCACGCGGTCGAAGTAGCGGGCAAAAGGTAGTATTTAATAAGAATTGAAAAAAAAATTTATAGCAATGACATGTTTTAATAACAAAATTGCAATGTGAATCTCTTTAGATTGGAAGGGCCGTATTAAGTACCCTTAGCTATTTGGCGTCAAGCAGACTGACGTCTGAATTCAAGCGGTCTGTTATAAAAATATAGCCTTAACATCCACCAAATGGATAAGGTAAGCTGCGATATTTTGCATTATAGTAATATTCTAACTAGCTCTTGAAAATTCCGCTCGTTATCACCTTTTCCACGTAATCCGATCGGCTATTTCAGTAGGCCGCGATTCATTCTATCAAGTTTTAAAATGAATATGATATTTATGTATATTCCTGTGCTTTTTGTCTCATTAGTTCAAGATCGTAGATAGAATCATTTAAAAGTAGGTAGAGCATTTATTTTTCCAGCTTGTACTACATATATATATAATCACAAATATTCTTGTGCATTTGCGGCCATCGCATTAAGCATTTTTGTGTAATGAAATAGTTTTATTTATTAAGTGCAGTTGTAGAGTAAAGCTTAAATGAACTATAAAAAAATACAAAAGACTTTACAATGATTGTACAATGTCTGTAATTTTTATGTTATACAATTTTTGCAGTTATATAATATTAATATATTTTGTGTCCACTTCCAGTATATGTTTGCCGAAAGAAATAAAAAAAACATAAAATGAGCGTTTTTGCAAAAAAAAAAATTTTTTAAATAATTTTTTAGTTATTAATGGGTTGCTTTATATTTTAAAATATAACTTTTTTACAATTCTACAATTGAATTGGGAAGTCATAGCCAAATTCGGTAAAATTCAGTTTAGTTGTTTATTTAAATGAATGAGAATGTAAACACATTTAAGAATTTGTAATTGGCTTGTTTATGTTGTTGGTGTTATGGAATATATCTGTATGTATTTTTAATGGTGTTACTGGGTGAACGAGCTTACGTCCCATTTGATGTAAAGTGGTTACCGATGGTCGGACCAAATAGCGGAGGAACTGGGGATACCTATCAGCGACGCACTCCACCGGGCTGCAGGGCGGGATCGATGGATACAGTTGGTTGACGAAATCGGACGGAGTCACGATCCTCAGCAGTGAGGAACCGATCGAAGAGAGAGAGAGAGAGAGGTTACCGGAGGCCATGGACACATTAGGAATGCTATTACCCACTCTGAGGCACGATTTTGAAGTTTCAGCTGTGTTGTGTGACATTGGTAGCTCCCAATTTTGAAATTGGAACGCTTTGAAATTAGCGTTGCTACTTGCTTCGGGGCGAAAATGGAATAGTGGTACCTACCCGTGCGGGCTTACACTATCTAAAACCGAAAATGATAGTGGGCGATTTCAGTAGGTACGTCTTGTAATACTCAGAGACTAAATACTCCTGATTCTTTTTACGAGAAGAGATGAGGTGTTGCTATTCTAAGTCACAAAGCCAAAATGCATTGAATATGGATTATGTAGGTATCCCAAAGGTATACCTGCCCTATAAGTGACATTGCGTTTTCGACATACTTTATTTGATTAAATTAATCCGATAAACTTTGACAGGAACTTAGTACTTTGATCTTTATGGCTGAACACGTATTCATTATAAAATGTATAATAATATAACTGTTAGAATTCAAATTTATTTGTTTTTCTTGTAAATCTGTACTATTTTGTGTAGGTACCTACTAATAAAAGTTTGTGTATTTGTATCTAATGTTGATCATATTGATATCCGTATTCGAGATTTATTACGTATCTAAATAACTGGTACATAATTTAGAAAAAAAGAAAAAAAAAAACATTTTTTTCTTCTAAAAGGCATTCACTTATTCCTTTGGGGTTGATCTGGAAGGGAACGCTTTTAAACCACTCAGGGGCCAAGGCAGCTACGCCGATCGCGTTTCTATGAGATATATATATTTTGGACTGCAACAAACTATAACTCCACTAATCTTTTGTAATAAATAATCAATAACAGTGTCCATAGTGAGCCATAATGAAACATTTTTATGACGCTGAAAAATAGTAGAGCATTCAAAACGAAATGTATGCTGTGCACGAACACAGATCGGCATTGCAATTAACACACACACGAATGTAACATTTCAAATTCTTGGTGTGCTCACAAACCCCGCCCCGAACAAAAATTGTCCAATCGGGGTTCGTTGCAGGCATAGATCGTTGTGGCCACACGCCTCATGTTTTTCGTCACGGAACAGCGACTCAGGCGCGACTCACACATTGTTAATATAAACGTTCTTCACTTTGAAGATACTGGATCCTAGCTCGCGTGCCGTCTCGTTCACACACCGGTCTTTCGTTAAGAAATATTCAACATGTAATTTAAAATTCATCCTAAAACAAAAGTTCTCTCTTAGTAAAAGGCAAATGTATCTGAAATGAAAATTGTTAATTTCGTTTATTTTGAAGTTTCTCCGTACATTTCCAAACAAAATTTAAATGTTTCGAAGCCGGCCAAAAAGAGCCTTCCGAAAACATTCGGGTTGTAGAGAGAGACAAACGATCAGGTGAAGCGGCTTCGAAGGCTGCGGAGGCGGCCAGTTTGACCATTTTTTGTTGGGCCGTTGATTGTGAAAGATTACACTTGAGAGTCGAAATACATCTTTACATCACACGTCAGTGGGCACTGAGCTGTCTTCAAAGTAGCACGGATTAGATACATGTCATTTTCTTTACGTAACTATGGCTGCGTCCAGGCTGTGATAGTGAGAGACTGAAACAGTGATCTACCGGGACTTTTGCATGTGTTTGAACTGGTTTGGTGTTTTGATAGGTCTACTTTTGTTTTTGCCGTCTTCATTTAGCGACGTCCATGGCTGTTTCGACACTGAACATGACTCCTTACTTCACAGGATATTCCTTCCAAGGTAAGTAATATATTTACATACATTAATTTACGAAAAAACAGTGTATAATTTTCATTACAAAATATTTGACTCTTAATAATTATTTGTCATATGGAAAATGTATTTGTTTGATAAATAATTTTTTACATAACCTTTTCATTTCATTTGTTTTTTTCCAATTTAAAGTAGTTAATGTGTTACGAAAATCCATTTAGTTCTTTTGGTATAAACATATTCACGTATTCATCATTAGCATTAAGTTTCTTTTAACAGTTCAAAGACTAATGACTCAATAGACCTATAAACACGTTATTACAACCACAATTTAGTTAATTCGAAGTTAGCAGCTCATTATCAGTGATCAATTATAAAACTAGGGTTAAATGGTGTAATAAAATTGGATGACTGTTTCCCTTCGACAAAAACACCCGAGACTGCAATAAAACTATAGAATGATGAGGAAATCACAAAATTGTTTACAAGCACCATAACTCATGCTCGCGCGCCGGTCTGGTTTTTAGGAAGAAATATTGGAGGGACTTGGGAACATCTTTTTCTGTTTACTATTTGCTGTTACCTTACTAAGAATTGTTTTAGAATTGTCAAGGACCGTAATCTTATAGAAAGCGGTTTGTCTCCGTTTCAATAGACGCACGACTAGCTATTGTAATATTCAAGGCATTTTATCTGAATGATCTTGATCTTAATTGCAGAAAAATGGATTTTAAGTCGAATGTACCTATTCGAAGAACGGGTTACAAAAGATTTCGAGAAGAGTTACGAAATTTTAAATTATCCAAACATGTTACAAAGTTGCGCAAAGCGGTCCAGAAATAAAAATCGTTGCGTTTTATCAACACGCTTATTTCACTAAAAGTAAATATTAAAATCATAATTTTACACATTTTTATGTGTAAAATGATTGAAATAAGTGTGAGGTAACAACAATAATATAGTTATCACATAAGTGTCATCGCATTCCGACTAGTTTTAACGCTTGCTAGAAATTATTACCCGTCGTAAAACGACTGAATAATTTTCGTTTAGAATGTCGTTCTATCGTTCCTTTTGTATGTTGTTTTATTTAGCTGGCGACAGTTTTTTTTGTTAGTCTATATACAGTTTCATGGACAACTGTTCGTAAATTTAACTTCTGTGTTTGGCGCAACTTTTTGTTGACATTATAAACGGTCTTTTGTTGTTTTAAAGTCGAAAGTATTGATACAAAAATTTGTACTGTTTGGGTAGAACAAAGAATTTGGGGAAAACCTTCTGCCGATTACGAAATTTTAATGCAGCTGATTTACACACACACTCGAATGTGTTTAATTACATATAAATGGTAATTATTTGTTTTTTCGCACGATTTAAAATCAATGGTTCAGACTTACTGGTGGTGGGACCTCTTGTGAGTCCGCACGGGTAGGTACCACCACCCTGCCTATTTCTGCCGTGAAGCAGTTTCGGTTTGAAGGGTGGGGCAGTCGTTGTAACTATACTTGAGACCTTAGAACTTATATCTCAAGGTGGATGGCGCATTTACGTTTTAGATGTCTATGGGCTCCAGTAACCACTTGACACCAGGTGGACTGTGAGCTCGTCCACCCATCCAAGCAATAAAAAACAAAACATGTTTATACGTATCGATGAACATAGAAATTAGAGTATTAATTAAAACTAGGGAAACAAATATCCATACCCATCCTCACAAGTTTTTGCGTAGTATTAATAGGATACAATATGATATATAAAATACTTAAATTTAGAAATTTAGAAGCAATCAATATCTGTCTAGAAGGGTTCGCGTAAAGGACGAATGAATATTATTGGACAGTTAGAAACCAATAATATTTTTGTTTAGTTTTTTTTTTTCAACAACCAAAAAGTGTACCTCACGGTATATGAATGCTGTCGTCAATAACGACTGGAGATCAAAGTATCAATAGTATGATAGTATCATCTATCCTGTACTTATCATCTATCGTGAATATCTGGGCAAAAATACCTGTCTCTGTGAAGCTGGAGACGATCCTGAACCACCAGCATTCCTTCCCATTTTTCAAATCTTAGGAATAAAGTATCAAGTGGTGTGGGCTCATAAAGTATCATAGAGCTCAAAACAATTATTATGAAAAGAATAAGGTAATACTATGAATTGGGAACCAGTATTAGGAATTGGCCGGGAACTATCTAGTATACTGGCTATTAGCTAGGATACGAATTACTAGATATTAGGAGCTACTAGCCCCACGTGGCCGGCGTCGCACACTATTATCATTAATTTTACCTACCGAATCTGTATAGAATATATGAATAGGATTTTGACTCAACACTAATACGTCAATGCGTTAAATTATCCCAAGTATAACTGGCACCGTAGTCGTAAGACATAAATCATTACAAGACGAAAACATTTCGGCGGCATTGTTAAAAAATGTCACTTCAACTTATGACCTGCTTCGCCCGAACCAAATTAAAAGGAATAAGACGAACATATTGAAAAGGGTTGGGAGGAAGCGAGAAAACGTATCTTTGAATGATGCCGACGAAATTAGTGTACGTTACAAATAAAAATTTATATTTGGATTGAATTTCACAAACACATGGAGGAATCTAATTTTAATATCAACGTTCACTTTCTAATGAGTATAATATCAGTGGCCCTAACCTCTCATCTGAAAAACTCTTCAAACGTACCAACAGTAAAAGAACTGGGTCCAGGGAACAATGCGACGGCTATACCTGGTAACGATTAGAAAATGTTAATTGTTAAGTTTTGTCTAAAACAAAGCAAAGTTTATGTCTTCAAAAGTGCTCCCAAGAAAAGATCAGAGAATGAGCATTAGCATGAAGTATAAACTATACGCCATGCGAACTTCAAGAATGGATAAAGACGCCTGGCTATCGATAAGAAAACACTGGTATGCAACCTTTCACATTATGAATTAGTGGTGATACTGGCCGTAGTATTCTTCGCCAGTATTAAAAAAAACCTTTAGCTTTCCCTCTAAATTCTCGTAGTCATCCAACTAATTGATATCTGTGATATTGATTCATGGTAGTGTTTTTGGTATTAGCTTCGAAGTAGTCATGCAGTTTGAATGTGAAATAATTGTAATATAATACAGTTAAGACTACGTACTTTGTATCTAAATGTCGGTGCTGACACAAGCTTCGATATAACAACACCAAGTGGATTTGTTCACCAATTGTTTATTGCAATTGATGCAATGAGCTCGCTACGTCTAGCTACTGCCATGAAAACATTTCTAGTTCTTTTCATTCGCTTTTAAGTTAAGCTTCATTTGAATTCAGTAAAAGAAGTAATATTACTCGAATTAACATTATACCTAGATCGTTATTTAATCTACGTTGTAAACAAACGAACCAAAGGATGAGATTTAAATTTTTCTACCACAACAACTTTCCAAATTTATTCAGCGTCCATTAAGTTACGTGTAAATAAACGATTACATTGGAGCTGCTCTATTTATTGACATTAATAATAAAATATGTATATAAATACTATCAATGTACAAACGTAACGAATTGTGGTGAGTCAGAGGCGGCGCAAAGCCTTTTCGACTTATTAAAAAAAAAAAAACGTCTTGAATTTTTAATTCGAACCGAAATTATACGAGTTTTTGAATTATAAGAAGGGGATTAGTGTCCGTAATCCAGTATGATGTGCTCACGAACGTTAATACGTTTGTTTAATTCTTTAAGACGTTGAAGGATCATTTACGAAAGCGAATTCGTGGATTTATGGAGTTTTGCCCTCAATCGTTCATTACGAACGGTATTTCGCAATTTTTTTTAACAAAACCTCTTTTCAATGCATCACGTGGAATGTTCCTATATCTTATCTTATACCTTTGAACGAGCAATTCTTGTATCTGAATCTCGGAAACGGCACGAACGATTTTCATAAAATTTAGTTAGTATACAGGGGATTTCGGGGGCGATAAATCGATCTAGCTACGATTTATTTTCAGAAAATGGTGTTTTATTCGTGTTTTCAATAATCAACTCTTCCCGACATCTATTGGCGAATAATAATACTATTTTTCTTAATTGAGGGCAACTAACCGCTTTAAAGACACAACAAGATGGCGTTATCAAAAAAAAACTCTTCATCGGTCATCATCTAGTATTATTTATAAGCTACAGAGATATTTTCATTTTAAAGATTTGTAACGTTAATAAATTTGTATGTACATTTTTCATTATAACACGGATTAATAAACAAAACTGGTATTGTTTTGGAAAGCCACTGAATTAAGAAGATTATCTCAAATGAATTGTATAAATATAAATACTGAGCTCAAGCGTAGTTGCGTGATGAAATAATCATACTAAAATGTCAATGTATGATCAATGACTATATTAGCGGTGACACGATAAATTACAGGTTACGCGCAGATCAAGTTGTGTGACTAATAACATTTTCTGGTCTGACTACAGTCATAAGATAATGTACTGCTCATTTACTGGGCAAGTATAGAAGTTTAGGTCGATATTAATTTGCACAATGCACTCGCTGAGAATACGACCGCTATCAGATGAGCCCCGGGCTAAATAGCCCCGATGAAATCTACACCCGTTATTGAAGATGTAATTTTCTCTAGAAACTAAACATGCGTTTTATTAAAATCTCAATTCGAGAGCTGGAACAAAAATTTTGTTGCATCTTTTAAAACAATTTGTTTTTCTTGTTTGTCTCCGAAGTCATAAAGCTTCCCTCTAATTACAATGAATTTGATTTTTGATTTTACGATACGAGTCAATTACACTAATAACAAAACAAAATCATTGGATTTGTGACCTTTATAAAGAGTTCACTACCATAATCAAGGTTTAGTCACATTCGTATCACGGGCCGACAAGCGGTGTACGTCTTGGCGAGTCGGCGCACGCACACATCCGCAGAGCGCGTCGACCAGATCAAAGGCACCGACAGGCTCTTTTAGCCGCATAAAATGACGCGCCCCCCCGCCCCCGCCCGCGGCCCGCAAAATTCT